GCAAAAAAAAGCCTAGGAGGAACTGCAAAATATAAGTAAACGATGTTGTTGGAATATCATGGCTAATGACCGGGTCTCGAGTCAATTTGGGTGTGGATTGTTTCCAGGAAGGTCCAGTTCAATCTACCTGTCGTCGTGCTATAACAAAGTTTGCTTTAGATCTAGACATGGAGGCCAAGTTTTTGATGTTTCTAGGATCCGTCTTGTTAGAACACTTCGTGCTACTAGTCCGTGCTCAGAACACCAACATTGAGGCTGCTGGATGTGACCGACTTGCAAGTGCAAGAGATTGCAAAGCAGGCCATCTTGAATCGCGCGAATGTTTGTGGTGAGGGTCACATTCTAGATCATGTCTATACAAACTTGTGTCATGAAGTCTAAGAATGATTGCTGTGCAGGGAGTCTATCGACTTGCTTGCCAGAGACTTGCATCAGGCAACCCTGCAGGCCGCAGTCCCGGGATGAGATCCAGAAGCTCTCATGCATGGGGCTTGCACAGCTTCGGGAAATGGAACATGTCGCTACGTTAGCGTGTCTAGCGAGAAATCATACATCAGGTTGGTTGTCTCACATCTTTGCTAGTATTTTCTTTTGAGATTTCTTAAAACGTCCAGGGTCTCACCCGAGCTGGCTTCCGAGACTGATACTGCTGCGGTCTTGTGCGCTCAGAAACCTCTTGACCACAAATTACAACAGGCCTGCAACAGCACAACGAATATCTAGGCATTGAAGGCTATTTATACGTTTATCCAAGCCAGGTACAAAGTTTTCGTCTTCCATTTGATTTTAATTCATGAAAGGCATAAATAATCTACAGGACTATGCAGACAACGAAAGATGTAACACATATGATCCGAGACGCAGGCCGTGGTACTTGAATGCCTTCGCAGTTCAGAAATCACTCTACATTGTTTTGGACAAATCGTTGTCCATGAGCAATCTTGTTGGACCTTTGTCATCCCAAAGCCGTCTGGCCGCTGCCAGAAGCGTTCTTAAGGCACTCCTGGACACTCTCACGAATGGAGACCAAGTAGCAGTGTCAACGATTAGTGGTGAACCTATTGCCGCTCCAGTAAGATCTTCTAAGTTATCATTCTTCTTAAGGCTTTGGTTTTGCAGGTTTCAGCCTTGCTTGAAAACCTTGTAACATCATCCAATGCTCTTGGTATTTCGTCCCTCAAGGATGCCATAGCCAAGGTCAAAGGCGACAATTCACCCAAGGATATCAAGAAAGGTCTTGCTGCGGCCCTTGATTTCTTCAATTCCAGCTCTAACTTAAACGTAAAGATCATCCTCTTTCTTTGTCTGTCACTAACAGTGCTCGTAATGTAAGGTAATACTTCTCTTCACGGATACTTCAGAGATTTGAATCCACTCTTTGCACAACTCAACGACAAAGGTGTTGTGGTTTTTTCTACAACGATGCCACTTTCCAGCAGATGCAAGATAACCTCAACATGACTTACGAGGCTGTGAAAGACGAGAAAAATCCCCTGCTCAACATTCGGAGCTACTTTCATTACATCGCTTGGCTTCGCTTTGTTGCCGTGAACAAAAAGCCTACGTGGGTGCCTGTTTACGTTGATGCCGCCGAGCTTGGAAACGTGACGAGCTCAATATTCCCAGGTAAACCGGAGCTCCTTTTCTTGTCTTGGTCCTTTGATCATCTGACTACTGCTGTAGCGTTCGATGCAAATCAGCGTTTGATCGGAGTTGCATGCATTGACATTATTGCCGAGAAGCTTATCAGCAGGCACGGCAGCGCTGTTGTTCAAGAAGCAGTGTCTAAACGGAGCTTCCATTCTTCAGAGAATGTGAAGCCTCTCCCTCTCACTCAACCAGTTAAGTCCACAAAACCCCCAGTTTTTCAACTTATCGCTGACATTACCAGTAGGTCTCGAATGCAACCATTATCAACTGTGGTTTTACTGGGAAGCTGACTCCCATTTGCCCGCAAAGAGATTTTTCGACACCGATCACAGAGTTCATGTGCTGTGGCGATTGTGCTGTTTCCAGCACCAATTCTTCGAAGACTTCATTGGCGGTTGGTGCCATTGCTGGTATTTGCGTGGGAGTTCTTGTTCTGGCTGCCGCTGCTGTAGTTCTCTACTGTAAGTGCTGCAAATCCCCCTCGCCTACCACGAGTGAAACTCTCATCGGGGCTGAACAAGAAGTGTGGGTGACTGGCCCATCGCCGCAGAGGTCGCCTAATAACACAACTGATTGAAAGAGAGCCTTGCTTCGTTTACTTCATTTACAACTGAAACTTGGCCCAGCCTGCGATTAAACTCATCAGCAACAATGGACAAGTGAATGAACAGTCTAGCCCGGTGTCCAAAAAAATGTAGAAATGTAGTCAGGAGATGTCATCATCAGCCTTTGGGCGATGGTTGGCAATACGTAGAAGTCCACACGGTTTAGGATAGCTAAATATCAGATAAAAATCAACACGATGGTGGTTCGTGCTTCCAGGAACCAACGAGGGCTTGATAAAATCAACGCCACCACTTTTGCAGGTTTGAGCGAATGGAGAGCTCCCTCTTGCTTAGATCCGCCTTTTTAGGAGTCTTGTCTTTGCTGCTAGCAAACGCTCAAGATAACATCGAAACAGTGCTGAACGAGACCGACTTCCAGGTCCAGCAAATCGCGAATCAAGCAATCTTAAATCGAGCCAATACTTGTGGTAAGCTCTTGAACCTCAAGCTCAAACAACTTTGTAGAGTATTGTCACTCCAGGAAGTCTATCGGATTGCTCACTCGACACTTGCAAAAGGCGCCCTTGCTGGCCGCAGTCCAAGGATGAGATCCAAAAGCTCTCTTGCGTTCCAGTATTGCGCAATGGAGACTGCACGTCTCCGGCAAATGGAACTTGCCAGAGCTTAAGCGTTTCAACTCAAAAAACATACCTCAGGTATCTGGCTTGTCAATGTACAGCTTTGACTTGAGATGTTGCTATGATCATCTAGAGTCCCACCCGATCAAGACCCGGAGAAAGATCGAGATTTTCAGACGGTCTTGTGTGCTCAAAAATCTCTAGACAAGAAGCTACAACAGGCCTGGGATAACACGAAGAAGTTTTCCCTTGGCTGGGCTTTCTTTGGAGGGATTGAAGGATACTTGTATGTTTACCCGGGCCGGGTAAGTGTACAATAAGCATTTCTTCCCTGCAAGCGAGAGTTTATGTCTTTATATTGACAGGACTATGTCGACAGTGGGCAGTGTGATCTTTATGATCCAAGGCTCAGGCCATGGTTTCTCAATACTTTGGCGGTCCAAAAATCGCTCTACATTCTCTTGGACACCTCCACTTCCATGAGCAATCCCACTGGAGTTTTATCCTCCCAAACCCGCTTTAATGTTGCAAGTAACATCATTACGCAGCTGCTAAATACCCTCACTAATGGAGATCAAGTGGCTGTGTCAACGATCGGTGGTGAGAAAATCGGAGCTCCAGTTAAGTTTTCATCAGAAACTAGGATAATTTCTGATTATGAGGTTCTGAATTCCAGGTTTCCGTAGTTCTTGACGTCCAGGAAACCTCTTTGTATCTGGCTGGAATCTCATCCCTCAAAGATTCCATAAGCAACACAAGTGTTACAAACTCAGCCAGTAACATAAAGAATGGGCTGCAAGCAGCACTTGATTTCTTCAACACCAGCTCCAACTTGAATGTAAGATGCTTTTCGTGTGATAATCACAAGAAATCACATTGGTTTCTTCAACTTGGCAAATCCCAGGTCATAATCCTCTTCACAGATGGACAGTTTGTCACCCCTGGCAATTTCAACTTCACCCAACTGAGCCCAGTTTTAGCACAGCTGAACGCGAGAAACGTTGTGGTGTTCGTATACAGAATCGGGTCCTTCACGTCCAACGATGCCACTTTCCAGCAAATGCAGAGCAGCCTCAACATGAGCTACGAGGTCATCAGTGACGACAAAAACCCACTGCTCAAGATCCACAGCTACTTCGACTACATTGCATGGCTTCGCTTTGTCGCTGTCAACAAGAAACCGATTTGGGCGAGTCTGTATGCCGATTCTGCTGGCCTTGGCAATGTCACAACTTCCATCTTTCCAGGTTTGTATAGTACTATTATTTATTCCTCTGCTTATTTTAATTGCATGCAGCTTTTGATGCAAATCAACAGCTGATTGGAGTTGCATCGATAGATGTTCTTACTGATAGGCTTGTCGCGGAGTTTGGCCAACCTACAGTTGAGAAAGCTATATCTGAACGATCACACTTTGTTCCTTCACTGCAAAAGCCACTTCCTCTCGCTCAAACAGTTACGTACAAACTTTTGGAACTTCTATTTTGCTTTTTAGATTGAGAGAACTTTGATTTTGCAGCTCTCCAATGCGACCATCAGCTGTGACTTCCGCGGGAGCCTGGCTCCAATCTGTCCAAGAGGCGACTTTACCACGCCCATCAGGGATTTTATATGTTGTGGAGCTTGTGCCGCTACAGCCAGTGCTCCTCCTCCTCCTCATCGTTCCCCAAAGAAGCCAACGGGTAAAGTAATCGCTGGTATCGCTGCGGGCGGAGTTGTCGCCGCTTGTGCCATCTTCGTTTCCGCCGTGTTTTTGTGTCGTAAGTGCCGCAAATCTCCAACTGAAAGTGATAATGACCAACCTCAAGAACCGGACTGGTTGGAACCAACGAGATCTCCTCTGAAACAAAACTTGTAATCTTATTCCTCGGACTCCTTCCGATCTCCAAAACTCGTCTTTTTATATACATACTTTCGCACACAAAACAAGAGCTTTGCTTTAGAACAGAAAGAAAAACTTGAAACACTTACACTACCACGAAGAAGAAGAAGAAGCTCTTCAGCTCAAGGGGCCGCCATGGGCGATCGGGGGCGGAAGCTCCTGCTGGATGTGAGCGATGCGAGCGGTTGGCCACTCGAGTGACATCTTCCGCAGCGGGCTCTGGAGGTAGACGGCGGCTTTGCGCTTGACCCACTCGGGGTGCTCGATCTCGAACAGCCTTTCCCGGAGGTCGCGAGTGATACTCACGTTGGGATGGGCTACGTGCTCCCACCAGAACGTCCACACCCCCAGCCCAATGGCGAGCAACACCATTCCCGCCAGAGGAAGCACCGGAAGGAGTTCTCTGCGAAGGATGTCAGTCGTTACCATCTTCATCCCGTTTTTCCTGCACGGTACCTGGTACACTCTGTGCAGTGGATCCACCTTAGAGGAAAACGAAAACAAGAAAGAAAACTACCTTCCGCGCTGATGCAAGTATTCGGATGCTGTCTGCCTGTTCATCACACCGGTGTAAGGATTTGGAACAACGTTGTAACGGTGACGCTGGTGATAACGGTGTCCAGTTTTAACTGAGTGCTGACGTGGCAAGTGGGCGAGCGAGGGTTCTTGGTTGAAGAGGGAGGATGGGAGGAGAGAAGTGATGGGCGCTAGATGTGAGCGCACAGGTGTGTTCTAGTGGTTCAGAAGTGGATCTCTTTTGGTTTCTCTGATTTCTTTGCTGGTGTCCATGAATGGAGGCGGTCCCTGTTTAGACCGCTACAACGTCTATGAACAAGACCCTGGTCATCCTTATCATGGTATCGGAGCACTAGTTTTTCTGGGATGGCTTCAGACAAAGACGTTTTGGAAGTTTTTGATGGCAGAGATTTCCATGGATGGCGAACTCAGATGCAGTTTTTCTTCATGGAGAAGAACCTTTGGCGGCAGCGACAGAGGTTGCACCCGAGAAAGAGTGGAACAGACAAAACACTCAAACACTTAGAATCCTTGGACGCGCAGTGGGAAGATTTATCGGTGTCACCTTGACACGTCCCTGACAGCCAACAAGAATTGGGAAGCACTAAAGACAGTGCTTGGCCGAACCAACAAGACCAATCTAATTGAGATGAAAACCAAGTTCGGCAGCATGGTCAAGAAGAAGGATGAGTCCATTCAAGATTATGCAAGTCGTTTGAAGGATACAGCGAAGCAGATCGACACTCTTCAATCTCCCACCAAAGTGGACGACAGTGACCTTGTCACAGTGTTTCTCAAGGGCATTCCAACAGCGTTTCAACTTGCTGCCTCTGGACATGTGGCCACCAAAACAGGTCGTTAACGAGATGTTAGCACTGGAAACCTTGCTAGGAGGATCTCAGTTTCTGGAAGAAATCCCTCGCGATTTGGCTATGTTTGCTGGTTCTAAGGCCAAGGTCTCAATCTGGGACAGGCTAGGGCCGCGCCAGGAGGATGCTGCCAAAGAACGCAAACAAGAAGGTCAAAACGAGCCAAAGAGAAACAAGAAGCGCAAAAATAACGGTCTCTGTAATATCTGTAAAAAGCCAGGACACTTCGCCCGGGACTGTACAGATGACGCGGCCAAGATCCGGAAGGAAATCAGGAAGGGGAAGCAAGTCTCCAATTACACACGAGCAGAGCAAGACGATGTCACAGATGGTAGCTTGTTCATGGCTCAAGCTGTAGCAGAGTCAAATTCCCTTGCACCCAACACTCCAAGAACAGAGGTGATCTGGATTGACAGTGGAGCCAATCATCATATGACTCATCTCCAAAGCCTTTTCTCGCATTTAGAAGACGTTCCAGACGGGAAGCGAATTTACCTCGGCGATGACTACTCACACAGCGTGTGTGGAGTTCGAGGTTCGACTTGCCACAGGACAGGTTGTAGCAGTCAGTGGAGTCTACTACGTTCCTGGTGTCAAGATGACACTCTTCTCCGTTGGAAAAATCACAGATCGTGATTGTGAACTTCTCTTTTCCAAGACGCAGTGCACTATAATGTGAGGCGAGTCAGTTATAGCCAGTGGGAGGCGTTATGCTGGCCTTTACCAGCTGAATGCAGAGGTGGAGTATCCAGTCAAGCCTAGCGAGCAACTTCGTCCTCAGCATGCGGTTGACCTCCAGACATGGCATCGCCGGCTTGGTCACACGAATTACCAGGATATTAAACAACTTGCGAGTTCAGGCATGGTTGACGGTCTTCACATCACTTCTCAGAAGCTGAGGTTTTGTGAGCCGTGCGTTCTCGCAAAGCAGCACAGATTTCCTTTCAAGGCTGGTGCTGCTACAAGAGCTACCGAGATTTTAGAGCTAGTCCACTCTGACGTGTGTACGATGCCAGTACTTTCTCGAGACAAGAAGGTCTATTTTGTGACCTTTATAGACGATTATTCCAGGGTGATCGCAGCAAAGTTTCTAGCTCGCAAATCTGAGGTGATCAATGAGTTCCAGTTTTTTAGAACTCGAGCAGAGTTGCAGACCCGCAAGAAACTGAGGAAATTTCGAAGTGATGGTGGTGGAGAATATGTCTCTAAAGATTTTATCAAATATTGTGAAGAAGCTGGGATTGAGAGGCAGTATTCAGTTCCAGATACACAGCAACAAAATGGCACAGCTGAGCGAGCCAACCGAACGCTCCAGGAAGCAGCTCGCTCCTTATTACGAGATGCTGGTTTGCCCGAGTCCTTTTGGTGTGAAGCTGTTGCAGTCGCAGCTTATCTGCGAAACCGTCAGATCACATCAGCAGTGAGCGGCGAGACACCATTTGAGATTTGGTATGGCAGAAAACCGGATCTCAGCCATCTTCGAATTTTTGGATGCATAAGGAAGCATCGCACCAAGCTTGAAGATTGCAGCGTGAAGGCAGTTCTAGTCGGCAACAGTGATCACATGAAGGCCTACAAGCTCTTCAGTTTGTCCTCATCCAAGATCTTCCACAGTCGTGATGTGATCTTCGATGAAACACGGACGTATGCAACCAGAAATCTCCCGTGCGCTCTTGATCTTCCAGTCAACGGTCAACGGTTTATGGTTCTTGACAGTGACGAGGTAGCGCAACTGCAGCTCCAGCAGCAGAATCCAATCAGCCCGTCCCTATAGACGCAGCGGCAAGTGATGCTGAAGCGAGTGGGAGCTCTCAACCCATCAGCAGGAGGTATTTTTGGCACGGGTGGGAGCGACACTTCAGGCCAGAACGGGACGTCTCCTCCAGTCGGCGGAGAGATCGGCTTAAGTGGGAGTACTCAGCCTTCACCACAGCCAGTGCTTAGACGGTCTACTCGGATCCGCACACTCACAGAAGCAGGGGCACAATTTCAAGAACGGCTTGACTTTCAGACTGCCCGCCGAGCTTCTCGGCAGCAAGCTCAAGCTAGGGGACAGCTCCAAGTGGTTCCAACACGTTCTACTATGCAGCAGCTCCTCCAGAAGTGCAACAGGCGTTTCTGGAATTACCTTCTCCAGTTTTCCAGTTGTTATTTTCTCAAGGCCAAGATATCTTGGTTCCCAAGAAGTTGCGTGAGGCACTCTCCAGTCCTGAGCGTGAGCAGTGGCAAGCAGCAGCAAATTCTGAGTATTCGTCTCTCATGGAGAATGAGACATGGGACCTGGTCGATCTACCTCCTGGAAGGAAACTGGCTTTTTCGAATCAAGACTGGAGCTGATAAGAAACTTCTCAAGTACAAGGCAAGACTTGTACACAGGTTGAGGGCGTGGACTACAATGAAACGTTTTCTCCAGTGGTGAAGATGGCCTCTATCCGCTTGTTACTCAATCTTGCAGCCCAGCAGAATTTAGAAGTGGAGCAGCTCGACGTCACCACAGCGTTTCTCTATGGCGATCTTGACGAGGAGGTTTATGTCCTTCAGCCAGAAGGATATGTCATCAAAGGCCAGGAACACAAGGTGTGCAAGCTTAAGAAGGCTTTATATGGATTAAAGCAGTCTCCACGGCAGTGGTATGCGAAGATGAACATCTATCTACTCTCCATCGGTTTTGTGAGTATTTCAGCATATTCTAATGTTTATCTTCGCAAGTCAGGTACAATATATATTTATCTTGCACTCTATGTAGACGATTGTCTACTAGTCGGTCCAACTCGCATAGCTTTGCAGCAGCTCAAGCGTGAGCTACAGGCACGATTTAAGATGGTGGATCTTGGACCAATGAAATATTGTTTGGGGATCGAGATTATACGCGACAGGCAGGCTGGCATCATACAATTATCTCAGCAGAAGTATGTTGACGATATCTTGGAGAGCTTTCATCTTGCTGAGCTGAATGAAGCGTCAATTCCTATGGAAGCCGGCCTCCATCTCAGAAAAGATCAAGTCCCACAAACAGTCGAGGAATGCGAGAAGATGCAGATACCGTACCGTCAGATGGTTGGCAGCTTAGTCTACCTAATGGTCTGCACACGGCCAGATTTAGCTTTTGCAGTGGGAGCAGTGTCCCAGTTTCTCGAGACTCCAGGACTTCCTCATTGGTTAGCAGTCAAACGTATCTTTCGCTACTTAAAGGGGACCAGACATTTTGCACTCACGTACTCCAAAGTCTCAGCAGGTATGCAACTGTTTGGCTTCACGGATGCTGACTTTGCAGGCGAGGTTGAGCAGCCGAGATCCACCTCAGGTTATCTTTAGTCTCGGCAGCGGCGCTCTCACATGGTGCAGCAAGCGACAGTTAATTATAGCGTTATCGTCGACCGAAGCAGAGTATGTTGCAGCTACTCAAGCAGCTAAGGAATGTTGCTGGCTACGACAGCTCTTGGACGGCATCGGCTATTCTCAGCTAGGGCCAACAGCTATCTTTTGCGATAACCAGGGTGCTATCGCACTCATGGGCGCGCCAAACATATCCAGGTGCAGTTCCATTATATTCGAGATCAAGTGTGTTTTGGAGCTCATCCATTGTGGAACAACAGAGCAGGTTGCAGATATTTTTACCAAGGCGTTACCTCCAGCTTTGTTCCAGCGACACGTACACGCACTTGGCGTGAGAGAGAGCACCTTAGTGTTCGAGTGGGAGTGATACGAATATGCTGGCATAGCATATTCTCCAGAGCTGTCTAGAGGCGCGGTAGGCAGTTAGGGGACACTAGAGAGAGTAGGGTGTGTTTTTCTTTTGTAGCCTCTTGTGATGAACAAGACCCTGTTCATCCTTATCAGTCTTCAGGGCGCTTGATCCTCGTACTGGTAGCAGCATTTCTCCAGCTCGGAGCCCCCGCTGCTGCTGGACTCTTCTTGGCAACACCACGGATCAAACGCTGCATCACAAACACGCACACTAAAAAGGCTTGGTAGAAACTTACACTCGCGAAAACCTGCATCATCTCTCGAGAACAAAGCAAGGCAAGCTCCGGTCCTTAAGAAAACAAAAAACAGAAGTGTTAACCTGGCTATAAATCGTATCCCATTCTCGTCGACATTTGTCCCGCAGTGATTTGTAAAAACGCATGCATTCGGAAACTGATATGTTCTTGGGTGTGTTAAAATACAACAGTGTCTAACATCGTCCCGAGACAGAACTTTGTCTCAAATAGCTGCTTTAACAACATCTGAATTTCACCTGGAACTTCCATTCATAAGAAAGATCGGCTTGTTCTCTAGACAAATTTGGAGTTATAAGCAATCCCTTTCTCCTCCAAAGTAGTAGCACTCGATTAGACCTGGATTGACAACACAAAACCAAAATAGTCGTGCATTGTCAACTCCCTGCAAGCCATGGAACTCTTTACAGTTCTTCTATCGCTATGATTTACTACGAGCAACTGTACAAGAGATCCCGGTTGCTGAATAAATCTCCTAAGTGCGTCTTTCTTCTCTCAGAACCCGGCTTGTTGTCCAGAAATCTGTAAAGTAGCATCCTATGTCCCGCATTCAAGCCCGGATTGGTCTAGCCGCAGCCATGGCAAAAAAAAAAAAAAGCCTAGGAGAAGACGAGAAGACGTGGGTGTGGAACTGCGTCATCAGAGGCTACGGCATGCTTGGCCCAGTCAAGTGCGCTCGAGAGGCATTTCTGCAGTGTCCAGCTAAGAACTTCCTGAGCTGGAAGCTCCTTGCTGACGCATATGCCCAGAAGGGGCATTACGGGAAAGTGCTAGAGATTGAAGACAAGATCCCGGCTGTGATGTATCAGCTTGCTCCGCCTCCTCCTCCTCCAGCATCCATCTTTGATGCTGTTTCTCTGTACCAGAAAGGCAAGACGTTGGCAGCATGAACTTCTTCAAGTGTTTTGCCATGAGGAAAATAGAAGGCAGCTTCTTTTTTTGGCATTGGGCAACCCTAACTAAACGATGGGTTGGAAGATCATGGCCGGTCTCAAGCCAACTTGGGTGCGGATTGTTTCCAGGAAGGTCCAATTCAATCTACCTGTGTCGTGCTATAACAACATTTGCTTTAGATCTAGACAAGGAGGCCAAGTTTTTGATGTTTCTAGGATCCGTCTTGTTAGGACACTTCGTGTACTAGTCCGTGCTCAGAACACCAACATTGAGGAGCTGCTGGATGTGACCGACTTGCAAGTGCGGGAGATTGCAAAGCAGGCCATCGAATGTTTGTGGTGAGGGTCACGTTCTAGATCATGTCTATGCAAACTTGTGTCATGAAGTCTAAGAATGATTGCTGTGCAGGGAGTCTATCGACTTGCTTGTCAGGCTGCAATGCAGAGGCAGTCCCAGGATGAGATCCAGAAGCTCTCATGCATTGGTGTACATCAGAATCTAGCTTGCACAGCTTCGGGAATGGAACATGTCGCTACGTTAGCGTGTCTAGCGAGAGATCATACATCAGGTTGGTTGTCTCACATTTTTGCTAGTATTTTCTTTTGAGATTTCTTAAAACGTCCAGGGTCTCACCCGAGCTGGCTTCGGAGACTGATACTGCTGCGGTCTTGTGCGCTCAGAAACCTCTTGACCACAAATTACAACAGGCCTGCAACAGCATCTATGAAGGAAAGGCACTTTTCGGAGGCATAGATAATCGACAGGACTATGCAGACAACGAAAAATGTAACACATATGATCCGAGACGCAGGCCGTGGTACTTGAATGCCTTGGCAGTTCAGAAATCACTCTACATTGTTTTGGACAAATCGTTGTCCATGAGCAATCTTGTTGGAACTTTGTCATCCCAAAGCCGTCTGGCCGCTGCCAGAAGCGTTCTTAAGGCACTCCTGGACACTCTCGAATGGAGACCAAGTAGCAGTGTCAACGATTAGTGGTGGACCTATTGCCGCTCCAGTAATTTAAACGATGATCTTCTAAGTTATGATTCATCTTAAGGCTTTGGTTTTGCAGGTTTCAGTCGTGCTTGAAAACCTTGAAACATCATCCAATGCTTCTGGCATTTCGTCCCTCAAGGATGCCATAGCCAAGGTCAAAGTCGACAATTCACCCAAGGATATCAAGAAAGCTCTTGCTGCGGCCCTTGATTTCTTCAATTCCAGCTCTAACTTAAACGTAAAGATCATCCTCTTTCTTTGTCTGTCACTAACAGTGCTCGTAATGTAAGGTAATACTTACAGTTTGCCAGCAATTTTAACTTCACAGATTTGAATCCACTCTTCACAGAACTCAACGACAAAGGTGTTGTGGTTTTCGTCTACAGGATAGGATTCTTCACCTCCAACGATGCCACTTTCCAGAAGATGCAAGGTAACCTCAACATGACTTACGAGGCTGTGAAAGACGAGAAAAATCCCCTGCTCAACATTCGGAGCTACTTTGATTACATCGCTTGGCTTCGCTTTGTTGCCGTGAACAAAAAGCCTACGTTGATGCCGCCGAGCTCGGAAACGCGACGAGCTCAGGTAAACCGGCGCTCCTTTTCTTGTCTTGGTCCTTTGATCATCTGATTACTGCTGTAGCGTTCGATGCAAATCAGCGTTTGATCGGAGTTGCATGCATTGACATTATTGCCGAGAAGCTTATCAGCAGGCACGGCAGCGCTGCTGTTCAAGAAGCAGTGTCTAAACGGAGCTTCCATTCTTCAGAGAATGTGAAGCCTTTCCCTCTCACTCAACCAGTTAAGTCCACAAAACCCCCAGCTTTTCAACTTATCGCTGACATTACCAGTAGGTCTCGAATGCAACCATTATCAACTGTGGTTTTACTGGGAAGCTGACTCCCATTTGCCCGCAAAGAGATTTTTCGACACCGATCACAGAGTTCATGTGCTGTGGCGATTGTGCTGTTGCCAGCACCAATTCTTCGAAGACTTCATTGGCAGTTCTGGTATTTGCGTGGGAGCGGCAGTTCTTGTTCTGGCTGCCGCTGCTGTAGTTTTCTACTGTAAGTGCTGCAAATCCCCCTTGCCTGCCACGAGTGAAACTCCCATCGGGGCTGAACAAGAAGTGTGGGTGACTGGCCCGCAGAGGTCGCCTAATAACATAACTGGTTGAAAGAGAGCCTTGCTTTGTTTGTTTCATTTACAACTGAAACTCAAAACTCATCAGCAACAATGGATTTCGTCCCTTAAAAAGCCAATGGAAGTGAATGACTGGTGTCCAAAAACATGTAGAAATGTCGTAAATGTCATCATCAGATGGCGTAAAAGTCCACACGGTTTAGGATAGGTTTGATATGGTTCCTAAAAATCAACACGATGGTGCTTCCAGCCTCCATTGCGGAATACTGGAAGGCAGAACTTCTGGAATGGTGCTTCCAGGAACGAATGAGAGCTTGATAAAATTAACGCCACCACTTTTGCAGGTTTGAGCGAATGGAGAGCTCCCTCGTGCTTAGATTTGCCTTTTTAGGTGTCTTGTCTTTGCTGCTAGCAAACGCTCAAGATAACATCGAAACAGTGCTGGACGAGACCGATTTCCAGGTCCAGGCAATCGCGAATCAAGCAATCTCAAATCGAGCCAATACTTGTGGTAAGCTCTTGAACCTCAAGCTCAAACAACTTTGTAGAGTATTGTCACTCCAGGAAGTCTATCGGATTGCTCACTCGACACTTGCAAAAGGCGCCCTTGCTGGCCGCAGTCCAAGGATGAGATCCAAAAGCTCTCTTGCGTTCCAGTATTGCGCAATGGAGACTGCACGTCTCCGGCAAATGGAACTTGCCAGAACTTAAGCGTTTCAACTCAAAAAACATACCTCAGGTATCTAGTTTGTCAATGTACAGCTTTGACTTGAGATGTTGCTATGGTCATCTAGAGTCCCACCCGATCAAGACCCGGAGAAAGATCGAGATTTTCAGACGGTCTTGTGTGCTCAAAAATCTCTAGACAAGAAGCTACAACAGGCCTGGGATAACACGAAGAAGTTTTCCCTTGGCTGGGCTTTCTTTGGAGGGATTGAAGGATACTTGCATGTTTACCCGGGCCGGGTAAGTGCACAATAAGCATTTCTTCCCTGCAAGCGAGAGTTTATGTCTTTATATGACAGGACTATGTCGACAGTGGGCAGTGTGATCTTTATGATCCAAGGCTCAGGCCATGGTTTCTCAATACTTTGGCGGTCCAAAAATCGCTCTACATTCTCTTGGACACCTCCACTTCCATGAGCAATCCCACTGGAGTTTTATCCTCCCAAACCCGCTTTAATGTTGCAAATAACATCATTAAGCAGCTGCTAAACACCCTCACTAATGGAGATCAAGTGGCTGTGTCAACGATCGGTGGTGAGAAAATCGGAGCTCCAGTTAAGTTTTTCATCAGAAACTAGGATAACTTCTGATCATGAGGTTCTGAATACCAGGTTTCCGTAGTTCTTGACGTCCAGGAAACCTCTTTGGATCTTGCTGGAATCTCATCCCTCAAAGATTCCATAAGCAACACAAGTGTTGGAAACTCAGCCAGTAACATAAAGAATGGGCTGCAAGCAGCACTTGATTTCTTCAACTCCAGTTCCAACTTGAATGTAAGATGCTTTTCGTGTGATAATCACAAGAAATCACATTGGTTTCTTCAACTTGGCAAATCCCAGGTCATAATCCTCTTCACAGATGGACAGTTTGTCACCCCTGGCAATTTCAACTTGACCCAACTGAGCGCAGTTTTGGCACAGCTGAACGCGAGAAACGTTGTGGTGTTCGTCTACAGAATCGGGTCCTTCACGTCCAACGACAGTGCCGCTTTCCAGCAAATGCAGAGCAGCCTCAACATGAGCTACGAGTTCATCAGTGACGACAAAAACCCGCTGCTCAAGATCCACAGCTACTTCGACTACATTGCATGGCTTCGCTTTGTCGCCGTCAACAAGAAACCAGTTTGGGCGAGCTTGTATGCCGATTCTGCTGGCCTTGGCAATGTCACAACTTCCATCTTTCCAGGTTTGTATAATACTATTATTTATTACTCTGCTTCTTCTTAGTAATTATTTTAACTTCATGCAGCTTTTGATGCAAATCAACAGTTGATTGGAGTTGCATCGATAGATGTTCTTGCTGATGGGCTTATCGCGAAGCTTGGCCAGCCTACGGTTGAGAAAGCTTTATCTCAACGATCCTTTCCTCCACAGCAAAAGCCTCTTCCTCTCGCTCGAACAGTTACGTGGAACTTCGATTTTGCTTTTTAGATTGAGAGAACTTTGATTTTGCAGCTCTCCAATGCGACCATCAGCTGTGACTTCCGTGGGAGCCTGGCTCCAATCTGTCCAAGAGGCGACTTTACCACGCCCATCAGGGATTTTATATGTTGTGGAGCTTGTGCCGCTACAGCCACTGCTTCTCCTCCTCCTCCTCGTCCCGCAAAGAAGGGAACGAGCAAAGTAATCGCTGGTATCGCTGCGGGCGGAGTTGTCGCCGCTTGTGCCATCTTCGTTTCCGTCGTGTTTTTGTGTCGCAAGTGCCGCAAATCTCCAACTGAAAGCGATAATAACCAACCTCAAGAACCGGACTGGTTGCAACCAACGAGATCTCCTCTGAAACAAAACTTGTAATCTTATTCCTCGGACTCCTTCAGATCTCCAAAACTCGTCTTTTTATATACATACTTTCGCACACAAAACAAGAGCTTTGCTTTAAAACAGAAAGAAAAACTTGAAAGACTTACACTACCACGAAGAAGAAGAAGCTCTTCAGCTCAAGGGGCCGCCATGGGCGATCGGGGGCGGAGGCTCCTGCTGGATGTGAGCGATGCGAGCGGTTGGCCACTCGAGTGACAACTTCCGCAGCGGGCTCTGGAGGTAGACGGCGGCTTTGCGCTTGACCCACTCGGGGTGCTCGATCTCGAACAGCCTCTCCCGGAGGTCGCGAGTGATGCTCACGTTGGGATGGGCTACGTGCTCCCACCAGAACGTCCACACCCCCAGCCCAATGGCGAGCAACACCATTCCCGCCAGAGGAAGCACCGGAAGGAGCTCTCTGCGGAGGATGTCGGTCGTTACCATCTTCATCCCGTTTTTCCTGCACGGTACCTGGTACACTCTGTGCAGTGGATCCACCTTTAGGGAAATCGAAAACAAGGAAGAAAGAAAACTACCTTCCGCGCTGATGCAAGTACTCGGATGCTGTCTGCCTCTTCATCACACCAGCGTCGCCAGTGTAAGGATTTGGAACAACGTCTTCAGGGCGCTTGATCCTCGTACTGGTAGCACCATTTCTCCAGCTTGGAGCCCCCACTGCTGCTGCACTCTTCTTGGCAACACCACGGATCAAACGCTGCATCACAAACAAGCGCACACTAAGTTAGAAAAACCAAAGGCTTGATAGATGATACTAACTTACACTCGCGAAAGCCTGCATCATCTCTCGAGAACAAAGCAAGGCAAGCTCCGGTCCTTAGGAAAACAAGAAACAAAAGAACTGTTATCCTGGCTATAAATCTTATCCGATTCTCGTCGACATTTGTCCCGCAGTGATTTGTAAAAACGCATGCATTCGAAAACGTGGTGCCAACCACAGTAAGGATAAAAAAGACGCACGTTAGCGAATCTTACTGTCACTTTCGCTTGAACTCTCCTGAAGACGCTGCTACTGGAAAAAAGGAAAAAGAACTCTCCCGAAGACGCTGCTACTGGAAAAAAAGAAAAAGAACTCTCTCGAAAACACGAGTGTCAATGAAAAGGCATTTATTTACCAGGCAAACATTTCTTTTCCAGACAAGCCAGGCATGATACGTAGACAATATACTACTACAACAAAAAGAGAATCACAAAAGTCCATACCGCAAACTTACTCGGCCCACCAGAGGGCGATCTGCTTGCGGCGCTTGATCTTCTTCTGGAGCTGGAGGAGACCGTAGAGAAGCGCCTCGGCGGTGGGCGGACACCCGGGGACGTAGATATCCACTGGGACAATCCGGTCACAACCGCGAACCACAGCGTACGAGTAATGGTAGTAGCCACCGCCATTCGCACAGCTTCCCATCGAGACCACCCAGCGCGGCTCGGGCATTTGATCGTAGACCCTGCACGTAGAAAACTATCAGTTGACGCAAGGAAAGAACGCTCAAGAACTTTGGAAAGAACTCCACACCGACACAAAGAACAATGGAGATCTTCACGACAAAGAACAACGAAGATCTTCACACCGACACAAAGAACAATGGAGATCTTCACGACAAAGAACAACGAAGATCTTCACACCGACTCAAGGCAAAGAGAAGGAAACTAAAAAGGAAGAGAGAAAAACCAAGTACCTGCGAAGAGCTGGAGCCATCTTGTTGGTGAGAGTCCCAGCCACGATCATGCAATCCGACTGCCTGGGGCTGGGACGGAAGATCATTCCAAACCTATCCAAGTCGTAGCGCGCGGCTCCAGTGTGCATCATCTCCACGGCGCAGCACGCCAGGCCGAAAGTCATGGGCCAGATCGATCCCGCTCGCACATAATTGATCACGGAATCGAGCTTGGAGATGACGAAATTCGCCAGGCCGGAGGATTCCCCGCTGCTGCTGGATGTGGCATAATCCGCCCTGCTGATCGCCGGCAAGCTGCTCTTGAGAAGATTTGACCTCGCCGCGGTGCTGGACACCGCCATTCGAGCTGCCCTGGGAAGCAGCGCCATAGCTGCCGCTGCGTTGAGAGGGAGAGGGCAAAGATCACAAACGATGCCAAGGCGATGGAGGTGCGTACCTCGAAGAAGACGGTGCGCTGCACAAACCCTAGCTCTCGTGTTTTACCCTTTAAGAACTCAGCCAACCACAACGCGCCACGTGTTCATATAGTTTTGTGCCCTAATTCCATTTTCTAGGGCTTCTGGGCAGGAAGGAAATGTATCATCCATCGCGCGGAGGCGTCCGGGGAGGCCGCGATCGTAAGTAGTCTATGCTTGATCGATCATCAATCTCTGAATTGGCGGTGGCGCAGAGTTTAATTGGGACGATGTCAAGGTCGATAAGCATCGAGAGAATTACCTGGGCCACAGCGTCAAAGCTCCAGTGGGACGCTGGCAAAGAGGTATCTATTCCATTCCACTCTTCCTTTGGCGATCAGACTCCTCCATTCCATTCCCATTGTTTCCTTTGGCGATCAAACTCATTCTTTCATTGTTTCCTAACTCTTCTCTCTTGATTTTTTTTTGCTTCTTCCAGGCAAAGATTTGACATGGTACGCAAAGGGAGGAGGATTGGCCGACGCTGCCGCGAAGGCAGAGATCGAGAGAATCAAAGCCGAGGAAGATCAAGCAATGCGCGAGGCCTTGGGCTTGGCTCCTACTCGAGACAAACGCAACCAAGTCAATCGTCTCGACAAACACGAGCTGGAGGAGCTTTTGAAGCCTGGAAAAACTGCCGAGGAGCTCTCCGAGACTTACACTGCAGCGGAACGAATCCAAGGACTTGGGTTTGGACCGTAAGTTTGCTCCCTACCCTTCTCGTGTCACGCGCTCACTGTCGGTTTCCCTGCGCAGTACAGCAGCAAGTAAGAAACAACGAGGCTACGAACGGGGAGAACAATTGGCGGGGATACAACCGGAGAAGCTCGCAACCAGTGAACCAGCTGCAACCTCTACAGATGGTGGCAAGAGGAGCAGCAAAGAAGAAACTAAGGAGCGGAGGAGGCAGGAGAAGAACGCTCGCAAAGAGGAGAGAAAAGCGGCTAAACTCGCACGCAAGGAAGAAAGGCGGCACCAAAAGGAGCTCAAGCGAAGATCATCCGGGAAAGACGAGGATCGAGACGAGGACGAGCAGCAGCACTCAAAGAGGCAGCGACACGATTCAGACTCGGATTAAAAGCGTGAGAAAACGGAGATAGAGAGAGAGAGAGGTACTTACTTGCTTCTTTGCGTTTATCAGCAAAACTTTGCGTTGCGTGATTTACTCAGAGCGATCGCTGCGCGCACGATGTGGGACCTTGAGTAAATCTTCTATCTGTAACGGCTGCTCGCTAGCTGGCGGCTGTGCTGCCGGTTACGAGGAAGACGAATGACATGGCTGTGGGCGTCAGTCCCGGCAGGTCTAACGGATGCCCCCACATTCGGCGACAAAACAAAACCCGACGCGGAGTGTCGTACTCCTTCCCCGGCCCCTTCCGTACGTGTTTGTTGTGCTTATCTTCCTATTATTCGCTCTTGTGTGCTCTTGTGTGCCATGGCAGATTATCTGAGGTCGTAGTACCAAGATCTGGAACACAGCTAGTCAGTAAAAGAGAGATTTTTAAGCATCAAACTGGGAGAATCTTACTCGAGATCGAAACCACCACCACCATGGTCGTTTGTCGGCACTAGGAGCTCTGCTGCGAAGGTAAAAAATTGAAGAATCGGCCGCACGCAACGCCATTTGTGAGAGAAGACCCCACACCGTTCTAATTCTGGTACCTGTTGCAATAGCGGGGTACCTTTCTCTGTCGCGCCTCTGTGGTTTCTGTCTTGCTTCTAGCTCGTCGTTCCTTGTTTGAGAGCACCAATGCATGCATCCAGCCAGCTAGCCAGTGTGGTTTTTTCAACGTTTAACTAGCACCACGATCAACACAGCAAGCAATGAATGAGCGCCCGTAAAGACAAAGAAAAAACAGAGCTCACTCACTCAATGTTTAGTCGTTCAGCGCAGGTTACCAACCTCCAGCACGCACATCAAACACAAGTCTTTTGTTATCTCGTAGAGCAGAAAAACACAAGTTACCGCTTGTGTCGCCCCGTCGGTTTGTTGTCTTAGCACCTAATTACCTTTGTCGCTGTCGGCTGTCTCACTATCGAATGAGATCACAGGATGGTAATCCGGGACCGATCGGAAAACTCGTAAACTTCTCTGTGGGAAAACGTATGATTAGTAGATGATCAGCCAAATGATAGAAAGAATTTCCACACCTACTTCGTTGGACTGGTCGCATTCGAAACCATGCTTTTCGCTTTATCGCAACCAACCTGAAAGTGAGATTTTTCACCCCTTTTTTCCACCATTTCCCTCTTTTTGCTTTTGTCCCTGCTCGCGTATGTTTGCTTGTTTGATTGTTTGCTTGCTTGATATCCCCCCTGCTGCAACTTTGCCTTTGTCTGTAAGATGATCCACCTGGAAGGAGGCAGCCAACTTAATCATCTCCTTGAATGTTTTGCGTGTCTTGTGGGACCTAGATTCGCCATCACCCCCTGTCTGAGGCGCCCGATTTCCTGCTTGATCTCTCCCTCGTCCCTGTGCCACGATTGGCTCTGCTTTTATGAGCAAAGGCCAGGATATAGGCACGCTCTTTTCTTGTGAGCTCCCTTGTTCCCACCTCCACAAGCTTATATATTTATCGTCTCCTGCTTTCGAGCACCCTGTCTGCTGCTACTCTTTCCAAGAACACTCTTGAAATTCCCCGCGCCAATCGCTAGAGAGAAGCTCTTGTTCTTGTTCTTGTTCGTTTGCCTTGTTTGTGCTTCGAGAGAACCTGGAATGCTCTTAAGCCTCCTGCATTTTCACGTTGTTTCCCCGTCTGACGGTATGGAGTACGGAAGAAATCTTCATAGGACCAGCAAAGGCTCTCACACCATCCTCAAGTCGATCTCTCCTTCTTCTTCGCCTTCTAGCAGCAGCAGCAGTAGCAGCAGCAGCACTAGTAGTAGCGATGGCAGTGATGGTCATTCTGAGCGTCCCCCAAGGCACCGCGTGCCGGTCATTAGAGTAGTTCACATCTTCAATCCCACTGTCATAAAGACGGACGCCGCCAATTTTCGATCTCTGGTTCAGGAGCTCACTGGCAGAAGTTGCAGCAACGATACCAAAGTCGGCACTGTTCGATCGAAGTCCCGGCAGAGCTGTGCTTCCGTCCCCGAGCCAGAGTCCAACAGAATCCTGGTGCCGCCTCATATTCTCAAGTTGTCCATGAATACGCCCCCAAGAAGAAATCCCATCTACATCCCAGAGAGGCTCGGCACTTTCAGCGACATCGACATAATGTCCAGCTTTCAAGAGCCCGTCATGGACTTGAGCAGTATGCTGCCATCTCTCGGTGGTATGGAGATCAACGACGAAGGCTTACCAAGATTTTCCTTTTGAGGCCCAGCTTGTGTCTGCAAGCACCGATTCACAGTCTCAGTCGGGGAGATATAGCAAAAGCTTAGTGAAAAATCTTTGCCTTTCTTTCTTTGTGTTTTTCCTCACCAGTTTTTGATCATAATGCAAAGTCAGCTTGCTTTCTGTTACGAGTTCTTCCACATTCGTATCATCTATAGTAAGTGTTAAAACAGAAGAGCTCATTAGATTCAAGGTTCAGCGATAATAAGCCATATGACGACTAGAAGCCCAAGGTGAGGCTTGAACTGGCAGAGAGGATTTCGGCCGAGACTCTCTAACCTTCCTCTCGTCTCTGAGCCATGGCTCGATAATATTTAGAAGGCTCGTAACGGAATCGCCAGTACTAAGAAGGTCAGAAGCCATGGTAAACCGCTCAAGTTTTCCATCAACCACATAGGCCAGGTGTGTTGCCCAGGCCTCCAATCCGTCAAAAATGTGTGTTGCATAAACAATGGTGCACCCTCTCTACATCCAAGCAGCCTCTCAGCCTCTAAAAAATTATCATCAAGATTTTGTGTTGCATACCTCTGTGCATTCCTCTATAAAAAAGCTCAGCAAGTCCATCCTTCCAACCACGTCTAAATCCACAGTGATCTCGTCCAGCAAGAGAACCTACATCCTTGATTATCAATGATTTGCGAGCCGAATCTATAGAAAACATCCCCACCTTATAAGGTCGCAGAAGCCCCATGCAAATTTGCACGCGGCGACGCTGACCGTCGGAAACTTTATGCATTTTCCACTGCAGGTTGATATCCAAAAGATCTATCAATCTTTGTCGTCTATCCGAATCGATTCCTTCGACTGCGTACAAAACAGGAAGAGTTTTGGATCGAGCCATCGAACAAAAAAGAATCCCAAAAGACACGATAGAACTTACCACCAAAGATCATGTGTTCTGCTGTAAAATCCCCTTGCAATGGCACATCACCCTTGGAGGAAAAAAAAAAAGAGCTTCTCAGGAAGGCCACAAGCTTACAAATGAGAAAAGAAAATACCGCTGAGCCGATAGGACGATTCCAAGACTCTCCGAGGTATGCAAGATCTCCATCGCATGTAAGCGCGGTATCATGGAATGCCGATCTTCCGAGCACCTGGACAACGTCTTTCCCACCGACGAGGTGCTTACCAGCGAAAATCCGCAGCAGAGTCGTCTTGCCTGCACAGATTTCCAGTCAAAATGTAGCTCACATCGATCACGCACCCGCTCCATTCGCTCCGACGAGCAGGCATCGCGTCCCAGGAAGCAGCGCCAGCGACAGATCCGCGACGAAGGGAGCCTGACCTGGGTAGCTGAATTGCAGCGCCCTCACCGACAATGCTGGCGCTGGCGATGGCGCCACTCCTTCGTGCTCCATCTCGCTCGCCCTGCCCTAAAATAAATTTGCATATTCTCATAGATGCTTTGTGCAGAGAATGTACGCTTCACATGGCAGGAAAGATCCCAGTGAGTGGTAAACCAGCTGGATCGGTTGAAATAGCGACGCGCGCGACGCGACCAGTTGTAACAAAACTCGAAGAAACATGACCGTTATCCTGACGTGGCGGTCCGCAGGCGGTCCGGGTTCGATCCTCGGCGCTGCCAGATTTCTTTCCTGTTCCTCTCGCGAAAAAGAAAAAGATGGGGGAGGGAACAACCGAAGGAGCGCTTGAATAGAGTCTCTAGGGTTTTGACATTTTCGGACAAGGCGACCGCGAAGGAATGCGATGATCCTGATCCTCTTCTAGGCGATCGTCATCGCGCATTCTCCGGCCGCGTCGCGCAAGCGCTAGGGGGATAGGTAGCGGGGGGGATTAGGATTATCGCGCATCGGCGGCAGCGACGATCGATCGATCGATAGCGCCGAGCGATCAGTGGATCAAGTCAATGTAGCAGGAGAAGCCCGAAATATTCCATTATGCTGTCAGGATCGCGACGACGATGAAAATCGATGCCGCAATATCGGTGAGTGAGAGATCTTCCCCTTTTAGATCGCTGCCGCCCCCTTTATGGTCTGATTCCCCTCTGTTTTGGTCACCGGCCAGGAGATGGGAGGGATGAGGGGTAATTTCTCCTCGCCAGACTGCTGCGATGTCCCGGGAACCAGGTGTCGCTGCAAGTGGCGATGGACGAATCCAGGCTGCTGCTCCAAGTGCCATGACAAGCTTCGCCATGGAGATTGCCTTTTGTCGTCGCCATTCCTCTTCTTCCTGTGCTCCTTTGCGGTGTTTGGTGGCGTGGGCATGCTCTTCGCGTGGCTCACTTTCTCGCCGTATCAGTACCAGAGGCTAGCCGTGACTGGGAGCGGGTGTCAGCCTGATAATGAGGGTTCCTGGGCCATTGGAGTCTTTCAAGGAGCTAGCCCGTTCAGCCTAGAACCCCTGGAAAAGGTTTGCTTATTTCCTTCTTTTCTTACAGACGACTTTAACCTTGCTTTTCTTTGAACAGCTAAGCGTGAACAATGATGCCGGGTCAGCCTGGCCAGTGGCAAACCCCGTGCTCACTTGCGCATCCGCATCTGATGGGAACCACGCAAGCAACTTTGTGGCGGACCCCTTCCTCTATCTCCGCGTAAGTCGTCGCTATCAGATTCTCTCCTTTATTTTTTTATGGTGTTGATTCCCGTTTACTTAAGGACGAGAGCATGTACATCTTTTATGAGTCGAAGAATTCCGTCACGATGCAAGGAGATATTGGGGTTGCCGAAAGCCTTGATCAGGGAGCTACATGGAAAACACTTGGCATCGCATTGGACGAGCCTTGGCATTTGTCGTATCCCTTTGTTTTCGATCATGATGGCCAGGTAAGAGGCTATGTGGCCATGCTCTTAAGTGCGGAACTCACTTTCGGCAGGGTTTGCATGCCAGGTTTACATGATGCCAGAAGGCAGCTCCCAAGGCGATCTAAGGCTTTATCGAGCCGTCCAGTTCCCGCTGCAGTGGACCCTCGAAAAAGTTCTCATTCGCAAACCACTGGTTGACGCGGCTATGGTGGAGTACAACGGCCTGTTCTGGATCTTTGCGTCGAACTTCCAGCGTTTTGGCTCCCGCAAAAATGGTGAGCTCGAGGTGTGGTACTCTTCAAGTCCCCTGGGTACGTGGAAGCAGCACAGGGGGAATCCAGTTCGGAATGGTGACAAGAGCTTAGGTGCTCGCAATGCTGGGAGGCTGTTTATATACAACGGTCACATCTACAGGCCGGGTCAAGACTGTGGCTCCACGTATGGTAGCCGGGTGAAGCTGTTTCGCGTGGAGACCCTCACGAAAGACAAGTTCAAGGAAGTAGAGGTTAGCTTCAGTTTTGAAGAGTCTCATAAAGGGAGGTATGCATGGAATGGGGTGAGGCACCACCATCTGGACGCACAGAAGCTGCCATCCGGGAACTGGATTGCAGTGATGGACGGAGACAGGGTGCCGTCAGGCGACTTGTCGGTGCGGATTTATTTTGGTGCTGCGGCCCTGCTGTTTTTGGTGCTCTTGAACGTGGCGGTAGGCTGGCTCCTGGGATTCTGCGTGACTTCTCCAAAGTATATGAGCCTTGGAAAGAGAGGGGATGCTTCGCTGACGTCGTGGATAAGGGTTCCACTCTCGTCAAGGTTGCACAGGACAGTGTTGAGAATCAACAGGGACAGTCTTCCGTTCCGCAATCGCTTGCGTTCCAACCTCTGCTTCCGACTCTGGCTGTGCTTCCTGGTAACTACAATGTGCGTGGCCTCCATCTGTGTGGCGGTGAGGTGCTTCTTCGGTGGTAGCGGTGCCGACGAGCCTTATCCAGTGCAAGGCGTCTACTCGCAGTTTACCATGCTTACGATGACGTACGACGCCAGGATATGGAACCTGAAGATGTATATCAAGCACTACTCGCGGTGCCCGTCCGTGCAAGAGATCGTGGTGGTCTGGAACCACGGGACGCCGCCAGACCCCAGTGACTTCGACTCGGCTGTTCCCGTCAGGATCCGGGTGGAGCCAACGAACTCGCTGAACAACAGGTTTAAGCCAGACCCGCTCATCAAGACGAGGGGGGTGTTCGAGCTGGATGACGACATTATGGTGACTTGCGATGACGTTGAGAGGGCCTTCAGGTCGTGGAGGGAGAAGCCGGGGCGCATCGTCGGCTTTTATCCCCGGCTTATTGATGGTGATCCGCTCGAGTACAGAAACGAGAGACACGCTCGGCGGGGCAAAGGCTACAACATGATTCTCACAGGGGCAGGCTTTATGGACGGGCAGACGGCATTTGAAAGATACTGGAGTCCGGATGTGGAGCAGGCCCGTGCCGTGGTGGACGAGCTATTCAACTGCGAAGACATCCTGCTCAACTTTCTGCTGGCGAATGGCACCACGTCCCGGACAGTGGAGTATGTCCACCCCTCCTGGGCGATCGACACGTCGAGGTTCTCAGGCGCAGCCATCAGCAAGGATACAAAGACACACTACGACAAGCGCAGCCAGTGCCTGGCGAGGTTCGCCAAGTTGTTCGGGAGGGTGCCCGTGCGGAAGTGGGAGTTTGGCACTCGACGAGACGGGTGGGATCACTGACGAGAGATCATCTGGCGATACTTTTGCTTTTGCGGAGTGGTGGAAGCTCAACTTGGTCACGAATCACGAAGAACAAGGGTTGCTTGATCGATGGCAAGTGTACAATTGGCACAGGCAGCAGTAGCAACAGCAATAGCAGCAGCAGCAGCACACGGGGTCCTTCCTTGGACTCGTTCGGGTTTGGGATTTTCTCGCTTTTTTTTTTTTTCCTTCTTCTTCTTCTTCTCTCTTTTGTTTGTTTCTCACGTAGCTGTGTTTTTTCGTTTTATCTTTCCTTCCTCTTGTACATTACGAGACAGAGCGTCAAGTGAAGTGGCCTTTGTCTATCCATCCATCCATCCACATCGCCTTCCTCGCCTCTCTATCCGGAGAAAGTTTGGAATCTCTCTCGTTCCAAGAGAAACAACCAGATGCTGGGCTAAATGATTTCCATGATTTCTCTCTATCCGAAGATTCCCCCCCCTTCCTTGTTCATGGAAAGCTCCAGCCAAGATCACAAAAATCTATAACATACTCCTTTAGCTTTTGGAGGATGGCGGGGACCCAACAATCATTCAAGCTGCATATAAATGTGGGGGCGTGGGTGGCCATCCACATGTGATATGGCCTCAATACCAGAGAATCCAACCAATCCAACTAAGATCCTCACACAAGAGCTTTCTTTTGGCCCACCATCATTTTATTTTTAGGGTTCTTGGTGTCGCCATCTAACCCAGACTGCCCCGCACGGGAATCGAGCCCCGAACATCCCGACAAAGGAGAGAAAATGCACGTACTCACTTACTCTGCGTGCCCGCACCACCGTGTGGCTCTGCGCGGCAGCAGGGGAGGGGAGAGGGTAAAATCCCCCTGTCACCCATGCTTGCGGCGAATATTCCCGGCACAATGTCTGCGGGATATTCCGCTGGGCGGACAGAATATTTCCCTCGAAGCGGGATATTCTGCTAGCTCGACGGAATGTTCCGTGGTGGTTGGAATCTTCCGTCTTCCGGGCGGCTATGGGGGGCGGCGGGGCCGAGGCGGAGGGGATGACGCCGATATATTGGCAGGGATGGTGATTAGGGTTCTTCCTCGTGGGCGCGGCGGGCGGCCGAGGTTGATCCGCGGCGATCGAGGACGACAGCGCGGCGGCGGCGGGGCGGCAGCGGATGGAGGATTGGGCGTGGAGCTGCCTGCTTGTGGCGTCGAGCTTGGTGCTGTGCGCGCTGGCGTGGGAGCAGCTGGGCTACATCCGCAAGGGCGCGCATTTGCCCGGGCCGCGGCTGGTGATCCCGTTCCTGGGCAATGTGGCGGCCATGGTGGCCGATCCCACGGGCTTCTGGGAGCGCCAGGCGATCCGGGCCAGGAGCAGCCCCTGGGGCCTGTCCTGGGACGTGATCCTGGGGCGATTCATCCTCTTTGTCCGCGACGCGGAGCTCTCACACAAGATCTTCGCGAATGTCCGGCCCGAGGCATTCCATCTCGTGGGTCACCCATTCGGGAAGAAGCTCTTTGGCGAGGAGAATCTCATCTTCATGTTTGGGGAGGAGCACAAGGATCTCCGGCGCCGTCTCGCGCCGCTCTTCACCTGGAAGGCGCTGGGCGTCTACGTCGCCATCCAGGAGCGCACCATCCGCAAGCACATCCATCGCTGGCTCGCCAATTCCTCGAGCTCGATCCACCAGCGCCCAGTGGCGATGAGGAGCCTCTGCCGCGACATGAATCTCGAGACGTCCCAGGAGGTGTTCGTAGGACCATACCTGGATCCGCGAGCGCGCGAGCGCTTCACGCACGATTACAACCTCTTCAACCTCGGCCTCCTGGCGCTGCCGATCGATCTCCCGGGCTTCGCCTTCCGCCGCGCCAAGCAGGCGGTGGAGCGGCTGGTGGCGACGCTGGGCGAGTGCGCGGCGCGGAGCAAGCGGCGGATGAGCACCCCGGGCGAGCAGCCGGCGTGCCTCATGGACTTTTGGATGGCGGAGACGCTGGCGGAGATCCGCGCCGCCAGGGAGTCGGGCTCGCCGCCGCCGCCGCACAGCTCGGACCGCCAGGTCGGGCAGCACATATTTGACTTCCTCTTCGCGGCACAGGACGCTTCCACCTCGTCCCTCGTGTGGGTCTGCGCGCTGCTCGAATCAAACCCGCAAGTGCTCGGCAAGATCCTCGACGAGCAAAGATCTCTTCGCGGGGGAGGACGAGGAGGAGGAGAATTTGGATCAAACTTTGACCCCGCCACCCCGGTGGGGTCGGAGCTCCTGCGCGAGATGAAGTACACGGAGATGGTGGTGAAGGAGGTGCTTCGCTACAGGCCGCCGGCGACCATGGTGCCACACATTGCGAGCGTGGATTTCCCCATCACGGACTCGTACACTGTTCCCAAGGGGGCCATCGTCTTCCCGTCGCTGTTGGAGTCGTCGTTCCAGGGGTTTAGGGAGCCGTACGCGTTCGATCCGGATAGATTCTCGGCGGCGCGGCTCGAGGACGTGGCGTTCAAGCGGAACTGGCTGCTGTTCGGCGCGGGATCGCACCAGTGTCTCGGCCAGAGGTACGCCATCAACCATCTCGTGCTCTTCACCGCGCTCTTCTCCAGCATGGTCGAGTGGGAGAGGGTCCGGACGCCCGGCTGCGACGAGATCCTCTACGTGCCCACCATTGTCCCCAGGGATGGATGCCTGGTCACTCTCAGGCCCCGCCGCGGCGATGATGATCGACGAGGACGGGAAGAACGAGAGATTGAGGAGACGAGTACAGAGAGCTAGGGGAAGGTTTCCCATTTTTTTCCACAACACAGGTTGGTTGCCGGAGAATTCATAGCGTGGCATCAGGTGCCCGAGATGGGGGCCCGAGGTGGCGTTGGAGATGGAGTCCGAGGTGGCATGTCAGCCTCTGGCCATTGATTTGTTGGTTGGTTTTAGAGGGGTACTACTAGGCACCACTGTAATGTCCCACTTTCCTTGTGATATAAGAAATAGGACCTACATTGGGTCCTTTGCTTTGGTCCTCCTTGACCAGAGGGAACGGGTTTGAATGGGGGAGGGATATGCCTCGGGGATATTTTGGCGGTCAATGGTTTTCTTATCTTTTGTTTGCTGCAGGGCATGTGGAGTTTTGCTGACGAGATTGGTAGTTGGGCCTGTCCAGCCTGGACCGCCAGCACGACGACAGCTCAACAGAGCATGGTAATCATTGACGTCAGCAACTGTAACTTTGATGGTGTGTTTTTTTAACACTATAGAAAGTGCTTTTAAGAATGCAACTAGTTTGTTCAATGTCTAAGGAGCGCCACTGGATGGAGTCCCATCTCAACTTGGCACAAAATGCCCAGTGCTGCTACATTTGAGTCCCCACCCCTTTGATCAACTCTAAAAGCCTTTTTACTAAGGTGGGAATAGTGATTTTGTAATTCTTGTACTAATATTACAACTCACACTAATGTCTGTTAATATTTGAATTTATCATTTGCAGAACACTGTAACAGTATTAATTTTACCTTTATAAGTGTTTTTAGTGATAATTAATTCCCGAACACTTATAGTTGCATATAATTATATGTATTTTCTTGAAGAGCATCTGAAACTTCAATTAGGTTGTTAACACCACCACAAGAACTTGTAGACCTTTTATATATAAGAAAATTCATTCCAATCGAATAGTTCACAGTTTTATACATTAAGATATTCACAAAATTCATATTATTCTCCTCTCTCAAAGATGATGGTAAATCTGGTGAAACATCTAGAGCTTTCGTTGTAATATTGAAGAACTAGAAGAACTTGAAACTTAAGAGACACCAGTAGACATAATATAATAAACCAAAAACCAAAATCATATTAGCATATATAGAATAATTGTTACAAAAAAAACACACCAGTAAAACTGAGGAGAATCTAAGAAACAAAATAAAAATCTGTTGCACTTTTCTATATATGTGCACAAGAACTAAAAGAGGTTCTAGATCATTTTTATTTGATAAAGAGAAAGTTGGTTTCTGTTTCTCACATTGCTTCTAAAACACTTGCACCTTTTAAAAATCAAACTTAAATTTCGAGTGGAAGTTTGTTACTATTTTCCATATTGATGAGGTCATTAGAACCTCTTTTTTTATTTAGTTCTCTTTGCACTTTAATTGTCACCTTTAAATTGGTAAACCCATAGCTAAGAAAGAAAAAGAAAAGAAAAGAAAACAATGAGGAGTTCATACTCTTAACACAAAAATGTTTTCAATAGAAAAAAAAGGGAAGATTCAAATAGAGTTTCCTTGCTAATGGCTGCTAAGTGGTATAACTATCCAAAAAAAAAAAAAAACTCTAGGTTAGAGCAATCATATTTAATGATCCTCATCCAAAGAAGAGGAATTCATATCAGCTTATTTCTGAGCATTTTGTGGGCTGTAATAAAGCATTGGTGTTTAAGAAAGTACAAACATATTATTAATCTATAATTACAAAATAATATAATTGTATATACAGTATAAAAGATGTTTAAGAAAGTTTAAAAATTATAAATATTAAAGTTTCTAAATATAATTAATTTAAATATCAATAATTAGATAGTAGATTATATCAGAATATCAGAGCATATTATTTTAAATCATAAATATAAATAATACTTTTATACCTCCTCCACATATTTTTAAGCATATAAAATATTCTAGTTTAAATTAAAAAATAAATCATCTATTTTATTAGGACTGTTAAATATATCTATTTAACATCCAAAAATTAAAGGAAATTCTAAATTTAATTTTATCTTATATATTAAGTTTTCTTAGTATATGTTATACAAATAAAATACTGCAATTATAATGATCTACATTTAAATAATTATAAACATAGAATTTTACTGGTTTGATTAAGCAAACCTGTAGGGACTAAGTAGATAAACCTAGAATATGCTTGGATATTCTAGAATATTTTACCATCTAACGGTTGTTATTCATTTAGATTAATTTTGTATTTATAATTTATAAACATGTTCATATCTTATAAAATTTCTAAACCTTTCTAATATATTATTTTTTATTCTATCATCTAATGGTTGATATGTAATAAGATTAATCTTGTGTTTATAAATTACAAATATGCTTATAATTATAAAATTTATTTAATAAATTGAATTAATAAGTAAGAATAACACTACTATTAAGCAAACCAAACCGTACTACATACAATGTGTAACAATTTATTTTTGATAATAGATAACAAAGTCAACAATCCCTGATAAACTACGATACAACACTAAACTTCCATCATCTTGTATAATAAGAATAGATGGTAATTCACATGGTGAAGGTGAGCAATATTTATTAATTGTATATAGTGGATCTCCATTTCTCTTATACAATACCAAATTACCATCTGTTTTAAGCAATATACAACCATATTGTCCATAATTACCAGTATTACTATTCCAATATGCAAACTTATTTTGCACATCTAATAGTTGAATTTCACAATTACTAAGCAATACTAACTCATACTTTTTATTTGGTGAAAGTTTCAAAGTGCCAAGATTCATAAAAGCAAATTTCTCCAGAAATAAGGCTTGAGTACATAATCCAACAATCATATAAGTCTTGAGGATTTTTTTCTACCATCTGAGTTTTGTTTGTAAGTTTTTGTATTGATATCTTAGGTATTTTCGATCTGTACTCTAGAAAATAAAGAACCATAAAATTGGCATTAACAACTAGCAAAGCATCATAACCTTGCCATTGAGTTTTATCCTTCAAAACATGATAAATTGGGTATAAACCAGTTGTTATGTCATCTCCACTAGCACCGCCATTTCTATTAAATTGACCACTACAATATCCTTCATCATTAACAGGGTTGAGAAACCATGCAGCTACCAGCACACGGAATGACCCAATCACGTTCAAATATGCGAATGCCTGTCCATATGAGTAACTATAATCATGACTAATAGAATCTATCACTTGATCTAGTGTAAACAAAATAACATCCCGTGGATCTCCAACTGGTATAACATTTGCAGTCCCACCATCCTCAAGCTTGCCCTCAAGGTAACGAAATAAAGAGAAAATTATGAGAAATTTGAGTCTCATATTCTCTGGCCTTCACATATATGGAAAAAAAAATTAGAAGCTTGTGAAGCTTGAAGCTTTGAAAAAAATGCTAAACTTGTCATATTGTTTTAAAGTAGTAAGCTTTTTTTCTTTTTTTGCTTTTTCTTTATTAAAAAAACAGAGATCTTTTTTTAAAAAAAGAGAGCAGATTCATTCTTGACCTGACCGGGCTGTTGCATTTAAACCCCGGAGCGACAGCGAGCTCGACAAAGTATTTCCCCATCCTCGACGGCTCCATATGCCAGTCCGTGAGCCCCAGATTTCGTCCAGCACGCTGGATCCTGAGAAACCTCCTCGCCACCAGCGTGAAATGTTACAACGCGTTCATTCATTGCCACACACTGGTGCGAACAGTGGCAGTGCCCATGCTTTTGAGCATTTTATCGTCCACTGGGAGCCTGATCACCAAGGATGGGCGAGAAAGGGATCTCTAGGACTAAAATTCTCCTTTTATGAAAGGTAGCAAGTTTTGGCTCCTAGACATGATTAACTATTGTCTCTCTATAATTGCAAATGTTTCAGGCACTGATGGTGTCAATATATGATTATCACAGACTAAGAAAGTACTGATACTAACAGCCCAGAAACATATGCGGGCCACAGCAGCAACAAATCTCTAGAAGCCAGCAGCAGCACAGACCAGCTAAACTGCAAAACGACCAAACGAGTGATAAAAACCGGTAGAAAAGCTGAAGTTACCATCCTTCCGCAAAGCCTTTCTCGCGGTGAGAAGGCCCCTGGTAATAGTATTGCGGCGGGGGCGCCACCGGAGGAGGATAGCCTTGAATTGGAGAAGGAAAGATTCATCCATCGATCAATAACTTCAAACTCTTCTCTCACCTTGAGGAGGATAAGGATAAGAAGTTCCCATACTGTCCAGTTGGGACTCGCCCTGATCTTCCTATAGAGCAAAAGATCTTGGTGCTTGCTTACGTACGTACTTTTTGACCAGAAAAAGATTCGATTTTTATCAAAGGATCAACACCAAAGTTGGTGAAAGATGTACTTCAAAATCTTCCGGTTCGGTGGAATGAATATTTTCTCCATCACTTTCGAACTTTGATTCCAACCTTGATGTCTCCAGGTGATTTGGAGCACAAGAGCTTTCAATAAGTGACACCATCTTCTCGCATCACTCATGCTAGCAATGGAGCTGCTAGAGCAATCGAGAAAAACGCGATGGTTCCTTTGCGGGCTTGAAATCGTTGATGGCTTCGCAGGCTCGAAAATGTTCTCTTGAACTTTTGAAGGATATCGCGAGCCTGAAACATTGGCACAGCGTTTACAAATAATTCACTGCATGGGACTTGAGCACGTCGGAGAAAGAAATGGACTTACTATGGTCAGAACGAAAAAAGTCCAAGCGCACGACCTGAAACTCAAATCACACTTACAGTATACTACACGGCAAAGACGGGATTCCCGGATACATGATTGCTACCAAAACTGTGGAAAGTTACCCCGAGAAGGCATGGGTCACGACGCCTTTGAATCTGGTGTGCCTTCGTCCATAGCTGTGTCTTCGGGATTCACCATCTTGTCTAGTGAATCAATATCCGAAAGCTGGGTCAGGGTCTCAATGCGCAGGCTGTTTGCATCCTCGCTGCACGGAAAACCGAGAATGTTTTAATACAAAACAGCTACAAGGGCAGTACGTACTCTGTGACTCCAAAAAGCTCTTTGATTTTCAGAGCGTCTCTTGACGTCGAACAGAACTCGTCCAACTGGAGAACAAGAAACTGTGGTGAGAAAGAGCACAAAGTAAAGTGATCTTCACCTCAGATAAGTATAGGAGCTTGCTAAAGAGAGAACGAACAGCAGCCTTCCGCTTGACACCCCTCTCCGTGAGTCCCCGTAAATCCATCATCACGGTTCCTACATGCAAAGTCCGGTCAGGACGTGATTCAAGCCGAAATCTTCACAGACCATTCTCATTCACCACGCGCCTCGAGGTTTCGTTCAAGACTTCGGCAATCTCATTGTCGGTCAGCTTGGTGGTCCTTCGGAGATGAATAAGATCTGCGACAGTCTCCGGCGTGAAAGCTCGCTCGTTCATGGCGTATCGAATATACTTCCGGAGCACTTCTTTTGAGTCAAAAGAGCACTGGAAAGGACACGAAGTGAAAAGGAGAGCAGAAAGAAAAAAAAGGAATCACAGCCTACCTTCCTTTCCAGCTCTTTGAGCACTTTGCTGTCAAATTCTTCACGGCGCTGTGGAAAATACTTGTCCAAGGAAGTCACCAAAAAGGCATTCTTTCCAATCTGAAACAAAAAGATGCGTCCATCCATCATCCATCTCCACGTAAAAAGCGAAAGAACAAAACGAAAGAGCTCGAGAGCTTTACCATCCTTCTCTTCTTCGCCTTTGGAGAGCTATACTTCTTCACAGTCCTGTACACAGCGATCACGAAAGTCACGCTGAAATACGCCACGGGCAAAACCAGCAGCCATGGAACGGAGCTCTGTCCCACCCTGGGCCCTGGAATCGCTTGAATGGCATTCCCGGTCATCTGGACAAGCTCCCCGGTCTTCTCCTCCACCCAGCTCATCTCCACCTCTTCCACCTCTTCTTTCACAACCGGCGCTGCTGCCACCGCATTCTTCCCAGCATTCTTCCTCCCACTTCCTTTCGAAACCTCCGTCTCTGAGGTAGCAGCGGTCACCTCCGCCTCTTCTTGATCCTTCTTCTTCGAAGACCACCATGCCCGAGCCGAGACACCCCGTCGCAGCGCCGGAGCTGCGAAATCCCGGGAGCTGGCGCTCCAAATCGCGTCGCGAGGGAGTAATCTACTCGATTGGGGGGAGTACCTGGAGCAGCAGCGCGCGGGAGGGACAAGAATCGCGCTGGTCATCGTCGCCATCGATGAGAGAGGTGGCCCAAAACCTAAGTTCTTGGCCTAACCCCCTGGGTTAGTTAAATGGCGTTTGTTAGCTAACCAGATGCGCGGCATATCCTCTTTTTCTATTTTTCCAAAAATTAGGGCTAGCTCGAGCTAACGAGATGCGCGGCATATCCCCTGTCTTTTATTTTTTCAAACATTAGGGCTAGCTCTTTATGGCCAGGAGTAAAAATCGATAGCGATATGTCCGGCTGGTCTTTTGGCGTTCCGCGTGGTACGTAATGGACCGCCAGCGGTGATATAAATGCCGCCCATGCTATGCCTCCCATTCTTCCAGATTTTAGGGTTCTTGGCTCGCGAGAAGGGAGAAAAGGAGGAGTGGGAGAGAGGGAAATCTTTGGTTTGATGCGCCAAGCTCGGATCTGACAGAAGACAAGCCGCGCGCCGCATTTCTCCAGCAATGGATCGTCCCCCGCGGGTAAGATCGAGGCTCCCGGATTTCCTCCAGTCCGTGCGGCTCAAGTACGTGAAGCTCGGCTACCTCTATGTGGTGTCGCGGGCGCTCATCTTCCTGCTGGTGCCGCTCATGCTCCTGGTGGCCGCGGAGATCGGCAGGCTGGGGATCGACGACATCTGGAAGCTGTGGGAGCACTTGCAGTTCAATCTGGTGAGCGTGCTGGCGTGCTCCGGGGCGCTCGTCTTCGCGGCCACGCTCTACTTCATGTCGCGGCCCCGCCCGGTCTATCTCGTGGATTTTGCGTGCTACAAGCCCGACGACGAGAGGAAGTGCTCCAAGGCCACTTTCATGGAGCGATCCACGCTCTCGGGGGCTTTCAACGACACCACTCTCGAGTTCCAGAAGAAGATCTTGGAGAGATCCGGGCTGGGCGAGGACACTTATCTCCCCGAGGCAGTGATGAACGTTCCGCCCAATCCATGCATGAGGGAGGCGAGGAAGGAGGCCGAGATCGTCATGTTTGGAGCCATCGACGAGCTCCTGGCCAAGACCGGAGTGAAGCCCAAGGACATCGGCGTGCTGGTCGTCAACTGCAGCCTCTTCAATCCCACTCCATCGCTCTCGGCCATGATCGTCAATCACTACCGGATGCGCGGCAACATCACGAGCTTGAATCTCGGCGGGATGGGCTGCAGCGCCGGGGTGATCTCCATCGACCTCGCCAAGGATCTGCTCCAGGTCCACACCAACACGTACGCGCTGGTGGTGAGCATGGAGAACATCACGCTCAACTGGTACTTTGGCAACGAGCGCTCCATGCTGGTGCCAAACTGCCTCTTCCGGATGGGTGGAGCGGCCATCCTCCTCTCCAACAAGCGGTCCGCGCGACGCCGCGCCAAGTACGAGCTCGTCCACACGGTGAGAACTCACAAGGGGGCCGACGAGAAGTGCTTCCAGTGCGTCTACCAGCAGGAGGACGACAAGGGGACGGTGGGAGTTTCACTCTCGCGGGATCTCATGGCGGTGGCTGGCGACGCGCTCAAGACCAACATCACGACGCTGGGTCCGCTGGTGCTGCCGCTGTCCGAGCAGATCATGTTCTTCTTCACGCTCTTCGCGAGGAAGGTGCTCAAGATGAAAGTCCGGCCTTACATCCCCGACTTCAAGCTGGCGTTCGAGCACTTTTGCATCCACGCCGGGGGGAGGGCCGTGCTGGACGAGCTGGAGAAGAACCTCCAGCTCTCGCCGTGGCATATGGAGCCGTCGAGGATGACGCTCTACCGCTGGGGGAACACTTCCTCGAGCTCGCTGTGGTACGAGCTCGCCTACTGCGAGGCCAAGGGGAGGATTGCTCGCGGGGACCGGATCTGGCAGATTGCTTTTGGATCCGGGTTTAAGTGCAACAGCGCGGTGTGGAGAGCTCGAAAGTCGCTCAAGCCGGATCAGGTGAAGAACGCGTGGTCGGACTTTATCGACGAGTTCCCGGTCTCGCTGGCTCACATCTAGAGAAGAGGAAAGAACTGGAAGCTGAGCTATGGAGGATTGGAGCTGGAACACAGCGGCAGCAAACATCTCTACTGGTTCTTGGGGGAGGTTTGTGGCTCTTCTTTTTCTTCTTTTTTTTTTGTCTTGATTTCTTTCTTTCTGCGATGTCCTGGTTGGATTGACAGACAGAGACGAAGTCTTTTCCTCTCTGATAACTTTACTTCGTTGTTTTTGTTCACTCGATGATCAATGAAACGAAGAGATTTTAATTCTTCCAATTTATGAGAGCACAGACAAAACAAACACGGACTTTTAGGCTCAAACGTGTTTTTTTTTATGAGGTTTTCTTAGATTGGAACAAAACTTCCTCGATGGTGGCGAGTGTGTTTATTGTGCGTGACGATCATCATCAGCTTTGCCTTTTTCCTGTGTTTGGGTGTTTTGATTCCAACAAACAAGCTACCGAGAAAGAGATTCGCCACTTCTTCTTGACCGGAATGCTAACATTCTGAAGTGTAGTCTACCAAAACTTCCTTCCTGGAGGAAAATTCAACGATTGCGAGTTGAGAGCGAGTAAACAAACACGGAATTCTTACCAGTTTCTTAACCACATGAAGTCGAGATTGGTGCCATGCCATGAAGCAAAAGCACAGGTCACGCCCCCTGTGGATTTGATTTCCAAGTGTTACCAAACAACTTTAGTAGACACGTTACATCCACGGACCTTTCTAGGAGCTTGCTTTAAGGAGCCAAGGATGGCATGAAGCAGCATCTAGTGTCATTCGTTGGTCGGGATCTAAGAAAAAGGAAAAAGTTACATATAAACTCAAGTTGGGCATCAATGAAACCTTCGCACCTTTACAGAGAAGTCCTTCCAACAGGTTTTGAAGATCGGGATCCAGGCCAGGAGGCACCGAGAGCTCTTGCTGGACAATCTGCAGAGCGCTAGCGTGTCAAATGATTAGATACCCATCCATCGGTGCGCTTACCTTGTCATAAGTGTCCTGAAAGTTTTCCCCAACAAATGGATACTGTCCTGTGACCATGCAGTACAAAGTCACTCCGAGAGCCCAGACGTCCGCGGCCTTTCCGTGATATGCCATGCCTTTCCGAGAATAAAAAGAACAAAACAAACACACATGAGTCATGTCGGAAGAGCTCCAATCACGAGAAATACCTTTACAGCATTCTGGTGCTGTGAAGACAGGAGTGCCAGGAGATCGACGTAAAAGATCATCATCGCCCTGCGGCAAAAGAAAGAAAGCAAAACTTTCATCTCAACACCACACCACAAACTCTGTGGTACCTCGAAAGTTCGACTGATACCAAAATCTCCAATTTTGATCCTGCCTTCGGCAGTAATCATCAGGTTCTCGGGCTTGATATCTCCATGGATAACTTTCTGTCGATTGATAGAATGCGCGATCAAGTCAAGCAAAAAAGCAAAGAAAAGGTAGACCCTACATTGTTGTGAAGATACATCAAACCAGCCACGATGTCTCTGAAGTAGCGTCTCGCTGTGGACTCGCCAAGGCCACCAGGTGGTCCAGATTGTTTAAACATTCGCTGCCCTTCTATGTACTCCAGAACTGAAAGACAAGTATACATAAGTAGCAACAACATAATAATCACAATCTTACCCATATAGAGCTGGTCACACTCTGGATCATCTATGACCTCAATCAATCTAACAATGTTAGGATGTCTCAAGTGCTTCATTACCTCTACCTGATAAAAAAAAAAAACATTGCAGAAAATGAGAGTGAAAAGAACATCTCATAATGCTTCGTAGAACATTTTCATAGAAAACAAGAGACTTACTTCTCTACGAACGTCCATCATTGCAGTTTCAGACGGGGCTACCCGAATTTTCCCTAGTCGCGACTTATCAAACACCTTCAATGGACAAAAACAGCGGTTAGATCTAGCACATGGTGTGAGACAATTCAGTACCTTGATGGCATAAAATTTTTGATCAAACAAGCTACGGTGCAGTACCTGAAAGGGAATCAAATGTTTCTACAGAAACTTAAAGGACTGCCACTCACCACTTTCCCGTAACTCCCTTTCCCAATTCTTTCGTGACGGACGTATTGATTGATCATTTTACTCCCATCGTAGCTCTACAAAAAAAAAAAAAAAAAGAACACAAGAAATTTTTTTTTTCTAATCGTGATTCTGTAGGCACACAATGCGCACTTACCTGAGAAGTATTCGCTCGTCGAGTGATCTTCACATCGATCACCGGATCAGCAGCGTTTTCCACAGACCATCCATTTTCCTGGCTCGATTTTCCTAGTCTAACTCCCACCAGTTCCCGGCCACTGCTCGAAAACCTTGCCGAAGAACTCCTCTTGCCACTGGACGCGGTATCACTCCCTGGAAACTTGAGCAGCTGCTCTTGCGAAGCTCCCGCCGGATAATAGCTCGCTTGCTTCGGAGCTTTGGTAGATTTCCTACTCAGCCCAAAGCAGCAGCCAAAGCACCCCATAATCCTACTCACAAGCGCCCCCAGCACCTCATAGAAATCGTACCATTTCCCGGTCGCATCCATCCATCTCGACCTATGACTTCGTAGCTCGCCCAGATCAAAAGTCATAAGCACGGGCCAGCGATGATCCAATGCCGGTGGCGCCAGGAACTAGGGAGAACCTATTACCATACACTGCTCCACCATCGACGATTTGCCGCCGCGATTCCGGGGCAATCGATCCATCCGTGGCCTGGAAAATGGGGGCTAGGAACCTGGAATCGAGCGCCATGGGGGTCGCAGGGCAGCGCCTTCATCGTCGTGCTCCTCGCCCGCCATAGCTCTGCTCTCCATCCAGGTCACAAATTATGATTCCCCTTTGTCCCACCGTCCGATCGACTTTCCACGTTGGTACCATCGCAACCGTACGTTTAGCTTAGTACGGGCTTAACAAGGGGGAAGAGCTTCCGTACACCTTGTGGAGAAACGAAAAAAAAAAAATGGTAGGCCACTTTAAAAAACCTTTCTTGTGTCTGTACAAACTTTGTGCCGATTAGTTTGGACCGACGCTTCCTTTCGTTCCTTATCACCGGTTTTGCGTCTGGATGTTTCGATAATACAAGCAAAGATCTTCCGGTTTTTTCCAGATGTATGTTCTCACAGTTGCCAGGCTCATATCGGGAGACAAAACCTGCGCGTAGTTTTAGCTCCAGATCTTGGAAAAAATGCAAAGAACTGGGAGCTTACCTGCTGGTTACACAGTATCTCGATCGCTGGCTTCGGGTTAAATTGCCACGGCCTTGAGCTGGGCCTGCAATCGTAAACGTTACCAGGCATTTGTGGACCGGAGGCGTGATCGTCTAGAGGTCTGTCCAGAACTAGCTTCTCCAGCACGTAGTTAATCACCTGGAATGAAAAAACATGAAGAGATTGATCGAGGGAACACGAACTTTGTAACCTTCTGTATTCTTAGGATCTTCGGTGCGCTCAGTTTTCCTTGCGTGAGAACTTGCAGAGCAGTTCCTTCGTATGGATGTAGAAAGAAGCTACACCTGTGATTGAAGGGGATGAGGAGAGGAACTTTCACGCAACAATTAAGTACTTACTTGGACTGCTCACGAGGAGGGATTTGTGCGTGTGCTACACAGTCGATGCACCATCTCGGTAGCTCCTTCTCGTCTTCAACGCCTTCCAAGTCGGACACTTTCTTCCTCCATGGTCCACCCTGTGAGCCCTCCGTGATAATTGACGGAGGGATGGACGTAGAAAAATCGAACACAACTTGACTGTCTGTGTTGTCATGAGCGTTGTCCGACAATGTCCTTAGACTTGACAAGGCGTCCCCATTAGCTAGATGCGTCGACGTCTTCTGCTTTCGTCGAGAAAGCCAGTGCGCAAAGAGACCACGCAACGTCTCTTGTCCAAGATTTAACTGCAAACGCAACCTGTAAGTTTCACTTGTATATCTGCTTGGTTACCTTGGTCTCTTCAGACGCCCCAGGAACATGCAAATCCACGGCATACATCTCTGCCGAGAAGCATTGAGGCGTATCTAGATGTATAGAAATGCTCCCCAACCGCGTATCCATGGTAAACCACGTCGGCACGCTCACCTTCACAAGGGTTGAGTTGATAAAAAGTTATTGAAAGACAAACTTGCTTACCATCTCAAAGAGCTCCTTTTCTTTGTCATCGAACGAGACCTACAAACAAACCTTGAGCATGAAGCGTAAGAGAGACTTTGCAGGGCAGAAATACTTTTCCATAGTTCTCGACTACAGCTCCGCGAGTGATCTCCCAGAGCTTCACATTGTCCTCCGTATCCTGCAAGGGAAAGACACCAGTCTAGTTTAAACTTTTGAAGTTAACTGTACCTTTGTAAGCACATGTCGTTTGTCATTCAGCAGTGCATGCTTCACGATTCCAGGTGTGCCTGGAATGATAGAAGATGGCTCCGTGTACAGGGGTGCCTGCAATCAACACTATAAAAACTAAAAGTCATCGAACGAAATCGTACCGGAGCGGACCCATCAATCCACGCTCTTGCACGAGAGAAAGGAAGCGATCCAGCCACAAAGGAATTTGCTTTCTGGAGTGCTTTGGCGGATATTCTCTCCCGTGCAGGCCATTTACGAATTGAGGAATCTGTCGACGCTACCCAGAGCCAATCGTCATCTTGCAACGCCATCTGAAGAATAGGATGCTGTTCTGTAAACAGCAGTATGCTCTCGCGAGAAGAAAGATCTGTCAAATAAACCTGTACGAAGTCTGTCAAATAACCTCCATGAATTACAAAAAGATTTTAAAACATACCGACAAGTCTTTGCCTCCACTGTAAACGTGACTAAAAGAGGATGTGCTCGCCATTGTCCACACTGAGTCAGTGTGCACAGCATACGAATGAACACAACGTTGCTGCCCAAGATCCCAAAGCCTGGCATTGACGCTAGTTATCAGTCGGAAATAAACATGTATGATGTATAGCTACCTGATAATTGAATCTGAAGACCCTGACAAACATAATCTGTTAAAAAGACAATGAGAAAATGCATGAAGAATACGCTTCCAGTGTGTTACCTTCCCGACGGATCCAAGAGCAAGCTTCGAACGTTATCAGTATGGCCCTTCAACTTCATTTGCTTTGCACCACTTCTTGGATCCCATACTCTTACAGCCTATTGAAAAGGTTAACTTTCCAATGTTCGAAGGCAAGCAAGAACGTACCTTTTCCGTGCCTCCGGAGACAAGCACGGTTCCAGCATCGTTGATGGCAAGGGCATACACAGATTGTTTATGTCCCTTTGCTGGTATTGGAGCGTAGGTTTGTGCAGGAGTAATTGCAGCAGTCGATCTCTCGGAATGTAGTAGATTTCCAGAGCTCTTATGCATTCCGTCATATCTGGTTTCCTCCAAACCATCACTTCGTGCTTTCGACACAGGAGCCGTCGCAGCTTCAAGGTCCCAGATGAAAACTTCGCAACCGAGGCCCCCCGAAGCCACAGTGTTGGTCTTCCATCAAAACAATATAGACGTCATCAACAGTAAAAAGATGTGAATCGAATTCCTTACATGCCGAGCAGCAGCCAATGACGTGACATAATCCGAGTGCTGCCGAAACGTCCTAGTACAAGCTCCATTCGAAAATGCGTTCCAAGTCTGGTGGCATCAGCAAAACTAAGAGACGCCTTGGAGAAGAAACTAGAAGTACCTTGAGCGTGGTGTCAGAAGAGCAAGACACGAGAGTGTCTTCTCCGGTGAGAACAAGATCGTTCACCTGTGAAAAAATTTTAACATCACAAGAAAAAATGGAAATCCACACATACCCAGTCGACATGCGACTCAAAAGTAGTACAGCAAGTCGCGACCTCTTCATCAACCTCCCACCTTTTGAGTGTTCCATCACGGCTGCCACTGAAAAGAGATCTTTTTCCATCGGACAAATCGCTGGAAGACGAGACTTTCACACAATTGACACCAGAAGAGTGCTGAGGAAACGAAGTCTTAGCTAGAGCACAAGAAAATCAAATAGAAAGAAGGAAAGTTTTGGCTTACCGTAGAATCGTCAGCATCGGTAAAAACATATGTCAGTCTACGTTCCTTCCGAGGCCGGGATGGATTTGCAGCGTTGCCAGTGCTCGCGACTCGATGCATACCGACCTAAATCCAGGCCCAGAAGAATCGCTCAATTCGCCTCTACACAACCCTATCTTACCTCAGGAATGCGATGCAGGATTCCCCAATCAATCCCTCATCCCTCATACAATAGCTTTGCAAAATCTGGGAATTGGCAGCTGCTCCTCGCAGCCCGCGCCTCGTCAATCCATACCCTAGCGTCTATCGAGCGCAGATGTTCCTCCCCTCTCTGACTTTAGGGTTTATGCTCGGGTTTACGAAGCTTCCTGAATGTTTAGGGCTAAACAACAACATGCCTGGTATATTCTTGCATGCACTTATCATATTTTAATTTTAATTTCCAAACTTTTTACAAATTACATATAAAGTAGAATTCTAATAATTTGTTACGCATTGCATTGCATTGCATGTATTAACATTTTTTTTGTTTAATAGTAATGTTATTTTTGGTTTGTTTAAGCAAATTTGTAAAGGGACTGAGATAGTAGCGAATATACCTAGAATATACTTGAATATTCTTGGATATTCTACCATTTAATGGTTTTTATTTATTTAGATTAATCTTGTATTTATAATTTATAAACTTTCCTAAACCCTTTCTAGTATATTCTTTTTTATTCTAAAATTTAGTGATTGATATGCAATAAGATTAATCTTGTGTTTATAAATTACAAACATGCTTGTAATTATAAAATTTATCTGATCAATTAGATTAATAAGTTAGAATAACACTACTATTAAGCAAACAAAATGTTGCTATATGCAACACATAGTAATTTTTACTTATTAATCCAATTGATCAAATAAAAGTTTATAATTTATAAACACAAGATTAATCTTATTGCATATCAACTTAGATAGTAGAATAAAAAAATATATTAGAAAGTGTTTAAGAGAGTTTATAAATTATAAATACAAAATTAATCTGTAACAACCATTAAATGGTAAAATATTCTAAAATATTCAAGTTATGAGTGCATGGAATATGGAAAAAGAATACAGAAAATATATATATCAATTAACCCAGAAACTTTAGCTTATATACAAGAGTGAGTGGTTCAGATTGAAACCAATCCAACAGTTACCAAAATCCCATTGTACTAATATTAGTATGTGACATCATAACAATACACTTGGATCTTACATCATCCTCTTATCTCAGAATAATGGAAGACCATCAAGGTTTTTTTGTAGATGGGCTGGGATCTGGAGGAATGTCAAGAGGAGGCATCGGTGGATTTGTACATGGTATTAATTATTCCTGATCAACCACTACATATACACAATTTTTGGAAGATCAGCCTGTTGGATGTCATGTTGAACCTCATAAACTTGTGGTCCAACTTGCCGCAACACTTGATATAATCCTTTCCTATAACGCACCTTATCTCTCTCTCCTTAAGCCAACTGGAAAAGGGGCAATTGCATAATGAGAGAACTCTTAGTGGCTATTTTATCCCTATTTATCCCCCAAGGTTCCAAGGATCGACAGTGACAGTATATCTAAATCTCATCCCATGATCACATGCACTACACTCACCCCCCTTCAAAGATGTCAATGTCTTCATTGACTATTAACTAACAACCCTTATTGAGCCAAGGGGAACCAACACCTTCATTTCCACGGGGATGGTCCAAAGTTGAGTTGAGCTCAATTCAACACAAGTCAACTCAAGTCAACATAGTCAATAAGAAATATTACAAAGGAGATCTAAATTGAACAAATGAAGGTTCTAGCAAACTTTAAAATATTAAAATACGTAAATATCTAAGTTAAAAGTTTCTATAAGAT